CTTAATTCTCGGGTTTTATCTCTTTTTCATGAAAAAGTGGAAGGATTGATGGGCTTCATGAGGTTTACGATAATGCGTATTAAAAAGGAATGATTAATGAAGAATGATGGTGTCGATTGATGTGATGGATGAATTATTTTTAATTATCGTGTGCAATTCCGGGGGGAGTAATGAGACTGGTAGAAATTTAAAAAAAATATTCGAGAGAAAAAAATGAAAAAAATTTTCAATTCGAGAGAAGTGGAAAAATGGGGGAAAATCTTAGACTGGAATTACCGTGAATGCTCTTTGTTGTCTTTTCTTTTTCTCACATCGTAAAGGTAGATGAAAAAAATAATGAATCACCAACGAGAAGCGCATCCTCATTTTCCTGTTTATCCCCCGTTATTCGAGCCTTCGAAATTGGATGGACGGGTTTTATTTGATTCCATTTGTTTGAAAAGGTTGTCTCGGCTTTAGTCTCTGATGAATAACGGAGGGAAGGACCTTTCCTCCAAAAAGGGACTTGTACGGGCTTTGATGGAGTCATGAGGGTAGATGATTTCCACCCCTCGAGATGAAAAGGGTTGTCACAGGGATACGAATCCATCTCATCAGGGGGAGGGATGGGGACAGTTGAAATCTATCATCAATACTACCAGCATATTTTTCTGATTCCTCTGATTCCTCTGTTCACTCCCTCCGGTGCAAATTAATTAACGAACATTGATCAATCGTTCATGGAACACCCCAAAATTTCTAACCCAGAACCGAAAACCTGAAAATTTTCGCACCCCCGAACTTTTCAGTTGATTCTCACCCCAAAATAATCATCTATCCACAATTTATCACTATTGAAGAAAATCTAAAGGAAAAATTATTTTATTTAAACAATTATTTATTACTTTACCAGTTTCTCTCGATATCCCGCAGTAAAAATTGCTGGAATTTTTTTTTCTGTGCATAAAATCCGGGAGAAAAATGTACAAAAAAAAATCGGTGGAATAGGAAAGGACAAATTTTGTATTTCTCTCATTTTGTCGAACACCAGCGGTGAACGAGCGCATTATCCCAATTACAAGTGCTTTCATCGCACCTCACCGCAGTCATGTATGCACCCAAACGACAGTTTCTGATCATCGTGCAGAAGAGAACACGCGAGTAAAATTAGATTTTCCTCTCACATCCTTGCATCAAACTCATTTCCACGTAGCTTTATTATTCTGCCATTTTCCCTCTTTCATATTTTCATTTTCTGAATTTTTTCGCGTTTTCCATTTTTTTTTTTTCACTCTATTTTTTTTTTCCACCAAATGAAAGCACCGAGCCATGACTCCCCTCAGTTTTACGTCCCACGTGACGGACTGGTGAACTCCCGTGATTTCATTCGAATGCAGAGAAGGACAAAATTTTGATAAAAATAGTCAAATGGGGCAGCAGAATGAATTTTAAAAATACGATGAATAAAAATGTATTGAATGAGATGGAGTAAAAAAAAACACATCTCATTTTCCGGCGAGTTTCATCCCTCAAAGTCATATCACGTGGGAATTCTCATGTGGAAAAAAAAAACGATGACGAAAACTTTTTCTCCTGATATGATCTCAAAAGCTATTCCCATTTATTATAAAATCCTTGTGATTATTCTCGAATATTTCAGTTGTTTTTTCCAACTCTCTAACCAATGTGCGAATTTATCAGAAAAATATACAATAATCCGGGCAAATTTCATGGAAAAAATTTCAAACAAATCACTTTTCCCTCGAAAAAAAAAAAAATACAGCAATAATAAAAATACCCCCGATAATAACACAAAGGCCTTCATCCCCGAAAAACCTCAAAATCCGAATCAATCGGGTGAGAGTTGGGTTCGTTTGATGCCGATTGAATACCACCCTTACCCCCCCACCTCCCCGCCTCACCCCCGCAGCATAATCCACCCCTTTGTTTCATCCGGTGCTCAAAGTCGTTGAAATCACCCCTCAGAGGTTTCTTCACTCATTTTCATCGGTTCGTACACACCCTCACCAGAATCCAACCCCTCACCACCCCCAAGAAGTCCAGAAAATTCCCAAAGAGAGCAAATGAAATTCGACAAAAGGTCGGCGGCCAACATTCTCCAGCTCTCGAGTGAAAGCGTTCCCTCCAAAAGAGAAACTGAAAAAGAAAAACAAGAAAAAAGGACAAGAAAAAAATAGAAGTTGAAATAAAACAGGAAGAGGCTTGAAAAGGGAATATGGCTTTTGGTGCGGATGCAGTGGAAACGTAGCGCTTTGGGTTCAGAGTAGAGACAGACTCCCCGTAATAACAGATGTAAATTACGTGCGTTGCTCTACCACCCACCACGCACCTGCGTCTCGAATATTTGCGTAGCCCGGGTGGGTGAATCCAGCCTCCCAACCCCCCCCCCCCCCCCCTTACCACCCACCCGCGACCCCTCATTGCCCTCCCGGCACAACTACTCCCATTGCTCCTCGGTCCAGCCTCCGATCCTCAAATGGCTAGGGAGCTGAAGAGGCAAAAGTGAGATAGAAACATGGTCAACGTACATCACACACTGATGAGTTTGCCGCATACACGAAGAATGACGATAGGCGAGGCCGTATTTGCCGTTGGTGGCCGCGGGTCGAGATATTTGCAAGCCAAATTTTAATACCGGAATTAATTTGACCCGAGGAAGGAGGCTACAAGGGAGTTAAGGGAAATGGGAGTGGGTGGGATAGAGTCGTGGTTAATGCTTATGTGTGGAAGAACCTACGGCTGTGGATGAAATACAGGCAAACTTTGCAAATTTATTCACATATTAATTCGATCTGCTGTTTCTGGATAATTTTTCGGTGAAAATTTTTGCGTTTGGAGGCTTGCAGGATAGTTTTACGTCGATACAACCGGAGACGCCACGATCCGCGCCTTTTTACTTATCCCCTCCACTTTTTCTTTTTGGATCTTGAAAGGAGGGGGGTCGAAGGATTGAAGTGGTCTTTAGGTGGCGAAGAAGTTGTAGATTTCTTTGTTTTAGAGTCCTGTGGTTTCTCAAAATTTAACCAATAATTATTGACATGTAATTAATCGAAATATGCACATGTGAGGTGGGTAAAAAATTGGTTGGCGAAAAAGTTTGTTGAGAATTCCCTCCGGCTGTTTCGTCGGCAAATCCGTCAGCTAATTTATCGATGAAGTAGAGGACCAAGCGGTTTCACTCCTCCCCACCACTTTTTTTTCTCTGGGTCTGAAAACTTTGTGGTCCGTACCTCACAAGCGCGTAATTTTTCCCCTCCCGTATCGTGAATTATTACGAACAACTCTTTTCACTTCTGCCTCATCCTCCGGAGTTATACTCGGTGATGAAGAGTCCCAGCAGCGTTCAGCCCCTTGAGTACCCGTACCCTTAACTCTCGGCAAACTCGTCTGTTCTGGTATGAGGACTGAGGTATACCGGAGAACTATCGTGCATCAGTTCAGAGTGTCATGACCCCGTGGAGTTTCCAGGTTCACGACACGAATGGTTAAAGTAAACTTGGCCATTACGTTGGTGAGTTTAAACGCATAATGGAACTGAAAGTTAACTTGAAACCGAGCAATGTACCCTCCGGAGGCAAGAGCGGCCATTTTGACGATGATGAGATATAGGGACCCGGTGGCTTCGGAGACTAGGGGTAGAACAGATAACCGTGAATGTGTCTCACAGTGGAAAGTTTGAGAGCCGAAGGAGAGAGCACCTACGAGATAACGAGCAGTAGAAATTTAGGTGGCGGTTTTCCGAGGTATCCCTCTATAATTCTCTCGACTGCAAAGGGTAACAAAGGAATGGCCTGCCTTTGTTCAAGGATTATCATTTCCTCCTCATTAGTAATGACACGATTATTGTTTTAATTCAGAGCCAATGGATTGGTTGGGTAATTAGGGGTCTATTCAATTTGCTCGGACCAGTCGTTTCATCAATTAATATTGGAAATCTAATAATGGCCGAGTGATGCTCAAGGAGGCTGGGATAGGTGTTTGTTCTCGTGAGAAAATGGCTTTTAATTAAAATTACAAGGGGTTAGGTCGGGGACGAAGATCGATTACAGGGAAAAGGATGAGATTAATTAAAATCTCGGTGGGAGGGACCTTCGTAACACCTCTTCAAGGGTATCATGGTGTTGATGGGGATGGAGGTTATTTTGTAATTCAACTCCCTCGCGGTGACTGCCATCAATTTTCATCGGGACACATGAATTATTGAGACTTGTCTTTCGATTTTAATGGATTCACGTGAAAATAAATTTTATCGAGGCGATAATACTGCTGGGGTGGAATTTAATTGAGGTGCCACACCCATCTCAGAGGTAACGGCGGCTTTTTGTTTCTATTTCGCAATGTGTCACGAAAACCCGTCGGATAGTCTCCGGAGAAATGAGGCAAAAGGAAAAAAAAAAGGGGAAAAAAATGTCTCGAGAGCGTGAGTCCTCGTTGCCCTGTCTCATCAACAAAAAAGGGAAAATCGAGTTGTTGAACTCTTTCGTTCACCCGGATGCCGCCATTCCTGCCACCCGATAAACTTTGTCGATTACACTTTTCCGTACCCTCTCCGAGGTCTCGGTACAGACATCCACATGTTCTATAGAGACGTGTCTCATCTGTGCGCTTGTTGCTCAACCATTTCTCTCTTTTTACGATTACTCTTCGGCGCACATCGCCATTCACAATGCGTATGTGTTAGTGCGATGAGACGAATGCGCTGAGTTAATGAATTTAAATGCCTCTGAGGTGCACAGGAATTTAGACAGCGAAGTAAAATTATCTCCATCGTAATGACAAATTTTTGTTATAAATAATTCGTCCTCATGTTGGAACATCTCGAGAAAATATTTTACGGAGATTAATCGGTGAAATTGGAGGTGGAGATATTTTTTCCCATACGATTGGAATAGTGTAAATAACCGATAGTCACCCTTGACCCAGAAATGCCCAGTGGACAGACAATACCAATATTTTTTTTTCTCCTCAACTCACTCTTCATTTTTACCAGTTATACTCACCATCTCGCTTGGGCATTCGCTGTCGTTTGTGGTTGTCTCGTTTTTTCCTCGCGTCTAGTTTCTTCTCACTCAGTTGAATTTCTCTTTTTAGAGGTGGGTCGCCATTTTGTGGCCTTCATCGATCCTGCGCCTACGCATCGTCAATGCTTTTCCCGCCATACCCCTTTTTCCATCTTCTTCGCGCCCTTCTGGGAATTTTTTTCCCCACCACATTGCCGACCGAGGGGAGCCCAGAGATTTCTCCTGTTATCGAGACACGAGTACTTCTTTACCTTCATTATACGACATCTTGCGTTTTTTGGTGGAGAAGTGATGAAGTATTGACGAGGCTGGAGATGAGACGCGGTCGCGAGAACGGGCAGACGATAACTGACGGTCTGCAGAGAAGATGATGGGCATCATCCCTCTAACTCGTTTGGAATAATTTGCATAGAGCTAGCTCAACTGTTTCGTTCAGGGAATAAAAAGCTTGTTCCATTGATGCCTTTGTTGGGACCCCCAGCAGACGTGCAGAGACTGGCCCACCCCTTTTTCCAGGTCTGCAGAATTTTGCAGAGATATCAGAAGGCCATTCCCGTCCCATCCAAACGCCTCTTCAGCAATTAATTCATCTTCGATGATTGATTAACTTTTTGATTGATTAAGAGAAACAAAATGTCATCTCACCCGATCTACCGATGCCAAATCTGATCTAAGATTCAACCGACCGAATTCAAATTTGAACCAGAAGTTATCAATTCATCATTCAAGCATTAAATTTCCACCAATTGATCATAGAATTCAAGGAAGACTTTGAATTCCTGTTCAAATCTTTTGGACTTCCATTTGTAGAAGAGCAGCTTCTCAGGGTGACAGATCATTTCCCCAAGTCCTTGGACCCCAGCTAAATCTAATGAATAAAGCCAGAGTTCGTTGGGACTCTGACAAAATTCTCACGGCAGCCCTCCATTTTCCCTGCAAAAGTCCCAAAACGTAAAGCTAATTCGTGAGAAGAACATCCTAATGAATAAAGCTAGAGATCACGATCGTCTGACAATTAATTCGGTCTAGCTGCAATTGGAGATCTTACCCTCCGCAAGGAACTCGTTTCTGCAGACTCTGCAAAATTTCCCCCTCTCGATTGGCATTTTTAAAATCAGTGGTGGGGGGTAATATCATGCAACCAGGGGAAGGGGGGGACATTGAAAACTGGTTGAGGGGTGACGGACAGAGGCGGACCCGACAGGTTGTTACCTCGTTGCCCCAGAGGTCGGGTCGAGACCTCGCCTTTGACCCCGACACAGGTATCCATCTAAATGTACATCTGAAAACATCATAGAGACAATTATCCTCCAACTTTTCACGTCCGCGATTCATTATTTTGTCCATTAATTACGGTAATTAAGTCATTTGATTTGAAGACATAAAAGATAAATTTCCCAGTGCGCCATTTCCCATTTTTCAAGGAATTAATTATTCCTGATTGTTCCTTGAAAACGTGATGACCATGAAGACCCGCCTTGTAACACCTCTGATAGTTACAGTAGAATATAAATACCTCTGTCGAACTTTTTTCATAAAAAAGTTTTACCGTGGAATTCATAAACATCCCGATGGGCATGTCAGAAACTTTGACAATCAGCGGAATCAATTGCTTCTTGATTTTGGGTTTCAGGGCTTTTGTGGGTCTGATTAATGATGATATAATTATCTTCCGGTTGAACACCGCGTCGGTTCCAGGATTACAGGGGTAATCCACCTTCTGAGCAGCTGATGCTCAGGGTTGGAATTCACAGCCCTGAAAATGCAAGCTGCAATGTTTGAAACGAAAATCCGGAATCCGGAAATCAATGACATGATAATCATTAAATTTCTCAGTTTTTCAAATCAATTGAAAACGTCACATCACCCGCTGAAGGTCATCCCAAGGTCAAACGCTTACTAAATCCACATAGTAGCAATAAGGATCAAACAAAATGCCGTCATTGATCGAATCAATAATCCCTTCATCACTCAGCCATGAATAACCCAAACAGATTGATCTCGAAAATAATCGGTAAACAGGCCTCGATAATCGATTCCGATCGATAGTGAAAGCCTCATCCCGCCAGTAGGTCGACACCGTGCCTATTAGGCTTGAATCACATATCGGATGCAAGTATCAATGCACACCCACCAACAGCCATATATATACTCATGTATTCACATTGTATACAACCATTCCCCAAAACGTATCACAACACATTGGAACGGTGTGTGACAATGTGTGGCTCTGTGGCGCGTACGAAACACATGTCGATACGGCCACATAATGGAAACATAACCGCTGTGTAGATAGTACAGTATTTAGGTGTCATGGTGTCACAGGTTAATTGCACATGATTGGTTATTGTCTGACAGTGGACAACATCAACCTCGTCTTCGACGGCAACCTGACACCAACTTTCCATTTTCAAAACTCAAATCACTATCATCTCGCCAAATCACTTTCCCCCGCGGGTATCGGTGCTGTCCTCAGAACGCACTTTTTTCACCCAGTGAAAATACCTGACAATGGTTTCACACTCAGAGACATCACCGACAGCCCAACGACCTTGATTGGATGTTTGTCTCCATCTCCCCTGCTCGTCAAACTCCTCTTTCTCCCTCGTTGTTGATTCTGTCGATGTGTTCTTTTTTTTTTCATCCCCCGAAAACCGCAGGTTATTTTCGATCGAAACTATCGGGGGTAATTGTTATGGCACGTGGATTGAATCACATCGGTTGCTTCACTTCGGGTGAATATTGGATATAAAATTGGGGGAGGGGTGTTCAGGCTATGTGGAATGATAATTACTATTAACTGGTGAATTTGTACATTTTTGGTCCGCTGGGTGACCGATGACACTCGTTAAATAACGGGTTATTACTGGTGATAATCCAGTTGAGATTTGACCCTGACATTGAACCAATTAACACACGATGACCCCCATGTGCCAGACCCGTCTGCATGCACATACACCTTTGCATCAGAAATTTGTGGGGCAATGTTGGCTGGGTTGTATTGGATGCCGTTGCTCCACCAGAGGGTAGCGTGAGTTTGTATACACATTGTGGAATTAACCGGTGAGAGATCCGATCGGAATTCGGTTGTATCCAGAAGGTGTGTACCCGTGACCCTGAGCTATATCAGCCATGACGACGATCGACAATCGATGCTGCAAGCTATTTGGTGCAGACAATCTTACAGGTGTCGGGCTCCGGTGGATCGAAGGTATTGGGAGTATTTGGATTATTAGCACAAGGTGAGAATATTTGAGATATCTACACCAATGGATTGAGGAGAAGGATGATGACTTGGAAATTCTTCATCACGATCTGATGGATTCTTCAAAATCATCATGAATCGCTGTCCAGATGATCATGCAATTCAGGACTATTGTCGGCTTTTTGGGAATTCCACATGATGTAGTCCACAGACAGCTGTTTGACCTCGATTTAGTGCATCACCCTCGATACACATAACCCATATAGTTGTGACCGTGACACGCATATCCTATGGTAGAACGCCCGAGCCAACAATGTCGCTGTCAATGGACCGATATAACGTCAGCAACCCTAATTCAGAAATTCCAACCCGGTGCTCTCGTAAATCCTTGAGTGCAGCACCAGCAGGCACCGACCAAGATCATGACAATCATCATTATTGTCTTCATCAACGGAAGAATGTCGACGAGCTGCTGAGTTAGAACTACTTCGGTTACATCCGGTGATCGGTTTGATGTTCTCCAGAAGGCCAGAAATATTCATCGGAAGGAGAGACACGTGGAGATAGAGAATAAAGGAAACCAATCGCTTGTTTTTTTTTTTCAATTCGGTCCACAGGGACGATGGATGCTCATTCGGGTCGACCGGCTTCCCCATATATCGGTGTTAATCCAATCAATGGTTTATTAACTGACGTGTGCACGAGAGGAGGAGATGCCAGCAACAAGCTACCAAGCGAGACAAATTCTCACAGAGGAATCCCATGGTGGAAAGCTATCGCTTCTGAAGCCATTGGCACCGAGCATAGATCCCGGATAAAGATGTGTTCCTGATGGAGATCAGGTCTGCGGTATCGAAGAATGCTGGGAGGAGATAGTCGATAACATTGGCGATGAGGTGGGGAACCAGTGACGCGGGTGGAAAATAAACGAGGTACCAGTGGTGGGTACGTGGTTTGTTTGGCAAGAGCATCGGTTCAGCAAGACTGAAAAAAAAAGAGGAATTGATGAGGGATGATCGGTTGGTTGGAAAGATAGAATATTGAGAGATGTTTTATTGACAATAGGCGAGATAGAGGTAACTCGTATCGTTTATCGGAGATATCTATTTTTCGAGATTGATCGCACTTGGGGAATATTATTATTATTATTGTTGAGGATTATTCGGGATTTTTAATATCGGGAACAATGCAGTATTGTTTTTTTTTTTGTGGGCAATTGAATGAATAGGAATGGGATGATTTTTTTTTTTTTTTTGAAGGAGCTATTTTTTAAAGTGTAGTCTTAAGATTTTGAGGAGCTTGGGGTTGCTTTGAGGGGTTTTGCATTATTCTGATACGTCCTCTGCAGAGAAACTGGTTCTTGAGAAGTTAAAAATGTGCTCGCTGGGTCTCACGGTGCAGTCAACCTGCTCAGGGCCCCTTCCGCTGGCCCAAAATTCCACGTGACTCAATTTTTTCGAGATGCCATTTGCGAGGGAAATTTTTTAGCGATCAGACGTGCCAGTGATAAATTCCAAAGTTCTCACGATTTATCGGAATTCAATGGGATCTTAATGTTAATTAATCCATCCATTTGTTGTCTTGCGGATTTTACAACAATGGATACATCCGTTTAATAATACGCTTGGCTTTCAAATGGATAAAGTGAAATTGTGAAGTGTAATTAATTGTCATATTGTGATAAAAAGTGAATGCAGTGGAAAATTGGACGGGCGGTATTAACCGAATTGGCCAGTAATTATTCACAATTGCGATTGAAAGGTAAGCGATTATCGATTAATCATCATTAGCTATTTTTGCTGGTTCTCGTTCATCCCATGGCGGCATTGTTA